CCCCAAGGAGAGTGTGACCCCTGACCCTCCCGCATCACTGCCCCACCAACTCAGACCCAGAACAGGCCTCCTGCGGCAGCCACCAGCAGTACCACAGGTCCCACACAGGGCCCATCCTCTCCTCTTTCCCAGTGACAAGCAACACATCATCCCCCATCCCCTCACGCCCCTAAAGATGCCTCACCTCAGGCTCAGCTCTGGTCAAGAGCAGGACACACCTTTCTTCCCACAGTTCCCCACGTTCCTCCCCCCCCCTCCCTGCCTCTAGGCCTCTTGGAAAGGCTTCTGGCCAGGTACTGCCCTCTCCTCACACTCTGTCCCGGAGGGAAGAAAGAAGGGCAAAGGACACGGGGACCCGTTCGCCCTGGCCCCAGGTCCTTGTGCACAGGGGACCTGCAAGCCTGGGAATGGAGGGGCAACAGGGCCTGTCAGATCACGCCTGTCATTGGGCTAGGAAGGTTCCAACATGGAGGAAAGAGCCAGAGGCAGTGCCTGGAGTCAAAGCAACCAATGTGTGTTCTGGGCCTCACCCTGGCCTGACCAGCCGACCCAATTCAGCCTCTGGAGGTATTACCAACCCACTCTACCAATGTGCCGATCCAGGCACTCAGGGGCTGGGCCTCAGGCAGAAGGCCATGAGGGCCACCAGCTAAGCCAAGCACTGGAGTCTTTCTAAAGGATGCTCTGCCGCTGGCCCTGCCAACCCCATCTCCCTCACCCTGTGGCCTGTACTGCCCCGCCACAGGGCAGCTGTCTAAGGCAGGGACTTGGGACTTCCTGTGGCTGGATCCCAGGATCTGCACAGGCCTAGGTCCAATTCCAGCCCGAGGTGGGATGGGGCGGCGCTCAGATGGTGTGAGTGCCCACTGTGCACACTCACCTTCCTCCAGGTCACTCCGGGCAGCAGCCTCCAGAAGGACGACACTGGGAGGGAAGAGAACCTGCTTCTGCTGGCCCTGGCCGGCTGCCTCCTTCTGGGACTGCTCGCCAGGGCCCTTCCTGCCCTGGGCCTCCCTCTCAGCCTGGGCCCACAGCTTCACCTGCTGGGCACGGCGCTTCTGGGCATGTTTGAGCCGCTCCTGGGTGCTCATCCTGCCCACCATGGGCATCTCTGCCAGCAGCTCCAGGTGCTCGGCCATGGTGGGAGACGTCTGCCCACAGGACTTCTTGGGGCACCTCAGTGGGGGACTTGGGGGCCAGGCTGGGCCTGAGGGGTGGGGCAGCTGGCTGAACTGGCACTCTTGGGGGCATCCCCTTTCCAAGGCTTGGTGCCCTTTGCCCTGGCAAGGCTGGGTCAGGAGGCCCTACGCTGTACCCAGGTCCAGCACAGCCCGGGCGAGGAGGGCGAGGGGTGGTGCGGCCGTTCCCCAGGCAAGCCTGGCGTCCCAGCTGCTCAGCCAGCAGGGCTGTGCACCTGCAACTCCTCTCCTCCTTCCTGGGGTCAGGGTGCACAGCCTTTAGGAAGTGGCCCTAAGACCTGGGAGGCCAAGCTCTAAAGCAGATTACCCAGATAACAAAGTTCCAGCTCCCTGGCTTTCTGCCAGAGGAAGGGAGGGCAGAGGCAATCAACTGCTAGGCCCCTGAGGGGCTGGGAGCCTGCTCTGCTCCCATGCCCGCCCCTTCCTATGGTCTTCCAATCAGCACATTAGGACTAATGAGGTGTGGCTGAAGAAAATGAGGCTGGGGCCAGCACCAGCTCCCAGTGTCCAGGGTAGCAAGGGAGCAGAGGGGCCACGGAGCTTGATGACATGTCTGGGGGAGCCGCCCCTTCCAGCAGCCGCACACCTGAGGAGTAAACAAGGAAGCACATCAAGGCCGGATCATGGGCAGGGCAGGTAAGCTCTGGTGAACCCTGGCTCCTGCATCTCAGCGTCTTGCCCTATGTGCAGTTTACCCCCTGCCAACACAGCACACACCCAGGGAAGGGCAAAAAGGGCCTATCAGCCCCCTCCCCCTCCCAGACTGTGTTGCAGGCTGCACAACTGGACAGCAGAACTAGGACTTCCCAGTTCCATGGAGCTGTCCCCCAGGGCCAGCTGGACTGGACAAGATCTCCAGGATTTGGATTTTGCTGGGATAGCCCAAGGACATGGCCGACTCCACCTCCTGGGTCTTCACCCATCACCTGCTCCTCATTGAGATGCCAGCCACTCAGGATTTCAGCCATCCTTGGCTGCACTAAAAGCTGCACTTGCATTGACACTGGTGCAGGTGACCCACCTGTCACGAGGTAGGTGAGAAACAACCATACCCTACCCAGCACCCAGGAGTCACTGGGACGCTCACAGTCAGATCTGTAGGAGGCAGGGCCGTGCTGTATCCAGGCCAAGCCCACGTCTCCTCTGAGTAGGCCACATCAGTCCTGTCAGGTTCCCCTGACACTGGAGCCACTCTTCACAGCTTACCCTGCCTGGACTGAGTGCCCTGTGTGCCCGGTGTGAGGCTACTTGGGGTCAGGACACGCAGGGGCCCAAGGACTCTGCAGATCACGCGGCACAGAGAAGGTTGGAACCAGAAGCACCACTTCCTGTTGGCCATGTCCACGGCTACTGAGGCCGAGGACAGATGCTGATCTTGCTCTCACTCTCTAAGACGCAGGGTCCCCACTAAGACAGGCCAGCGGGAGCCTCAGTCAGCTGCTAGCATAGACACCTGAGGAGGAGATGCCAGACGTAGGCTGCTGCCGCGGTGAACACCCTCCTGTCCGACAGGGCTGCACCTCTCAATCATCAGTACCCTTCCCAGAAGACACCCCTAGCCCACCTGAGAGATCAGAGCAGAGTCAAGTACGTGCACTTGCATACCTTGGTGACAAGGTAAAGATTTAAGATATCCACACATGTATCATCTGGTAGAAGAAAAAATATTTCATGTCCTTGTCCTACACAATAAAAAATGAAACGAGGGGCTGGGAAGGTGGCTCAGTGGTAGAGCACTTGCCCGGCATACATGAGGCCCTGGGTTTGATTCCTCAGTACCACATAAACCGAAAAAGTGGGAAGTGGCGCTGTGGCTCGAGTGGTAGAGCGCTAGCCTTGAGCTGAAGAGCTGAGGGACAGTGCCCAGGCCCAGAGTTCAGGCCCCACAACCAACAAAAAAAAAAAGAAAATAGAAAATGCAGCGAGCGCACACTTTCAGACAGAACATATGCTGCCTCTGGTTTCTGCACGGCAGGGGAAGGCACGGCAAGGGAAAACCATCACAGGGCTGGGAGCCAGCCCCACTCTTCCTCTGAGAGAAAAAGGAAGCAGCCCATGAGCCAGGGAGCTGCAGGCCCAACTCAGCAGGTGCTCTACGCAGACAGTCCTTCTAAGGGCATCCCAGCCCGACTCCTCTCAGGCTGAACCCCAAGCTTCTGACTCCCCAGATCCCTCAGAAGCTCCCCACCTGACTTCCCTCCAGAAGCCGACTCTGAAAGGACAGGCCAGCTGCAGAGTTTGATATTCCAGGAAGAAAGGCCACCTCTTGCCCACCTGGACTTGGGCTGCTGACCCAGCTGAACTTCTCTAAAGGTGTGGTGCCTGCTCCCAGCTGGCCATGAAGGGGTGACATTGTCCAAAAAGAAATGTCCTCTTGGGTCTGGGAAGGTGACTCAGTGGTAGAGTGCTTGCCTTGCATGCATGAGGCCCTGGGTTTGATTCCTCAGCACCACATAAGCAGAAAAAAAAAAAAAAAAAAACAGAAGTGGCACTGTGGCTTAAGTGGTAGAGCACTAGCCTTGAGCTGAAGAGCTGGAGGACAGCGCCCAGGCCCTGAGTTCAAGCCCCACAACCGACAAAAAAAAAAAGAGAAGACTTATCTGGGCCATTAAGACATAAGACATAGTAGCTGGCTCAGCAGAATCCTACCAAATGGCCACCACACCACACTGGGCCAAGAGAAGGGCTGAGCAGGGCCTCTGCTGCCCCAAGCCTCCCCGGAATGTCAAGCTGAGAATCTGGGTGATCTAGGATGCTTTCAGCTTCAAGACTGGGGAGCTACATCAGGATGCAGGATCCCATAGGGAGGAAGCGCCCGGAAGGACACGGGCCCCACCTCTACCCGTTTTAGCCACCCCTGGGCTGACCCATACTGCAGAGAAACATACTGCTCTGTGACTCCTCGACAAAGCTGACCTCTGTCAAAGGACAGCACCAGCGCAGGCCCCACACTCAACCCAGCTGACTGCCCAAACCTAGGGTTCTCAACATGCCACCACTCCTGCCACAGTCTCCAACGACAGCCATGCCTAAGCCCATAACTGTCCTGTTAACCATCCACCATAACGCCTCAAGGCATGCACAATACCGCTAAAGCCCAGCAGCAGGAAGCTGCAAGGGCCTTAGATCACTTTATCCACACGGAAGCGGTGACAAGCGATAGGTAGAAGAGTATGCTGTCCAGACAAAAGACAGAAGAACTAAGGGGCATGGAGGGAAGACACTGAGAAAAGCCAAGGTGGGACAGGAGTCGGGGCGCCCTCTACAGGCCACACCTGAAATGTCCCCTTCCACATACCTCTCTACCACCTCTTCCTACTAAAATCCATTCGGCACACAGGACAGACAGGGCAAACAGATATGAAGAGAGCCACCTGCCTCTAGCTGAGTATCACAGGTCGTCCGCATGACAGCACAGGGGGCCACACTGGGCAGCTGACAAAGTAATCCCAGCCATTCAGGGGACTTTACTGGAATTGATTTCTGTAACTTACAACCAGAAGAGTTTATCTTGTTTACAATACCAGTCAGTAAAAAAAGTGGGAGTCTCAGCCAGGCAATGGTGGCTTACGCCTGTAATTCTAGCTACTCAGTAAGCTAAGATTGAAGATCGTGGTTCAAAGCCAGTTTAGGCAGGAGAGTCTGAGACTTACCTCACAAGAAGTGGGCTGGAGGCATCGATCAAGTGACAGAGCACTAGCAGAGCAAGCAAGCAAGCAAGTAGTGCCCTGAATTCAAATTCCAATACTTTAGGAGGGAAAAATGAAATAAGAATATGCAGGGACCAGGGGTTTACTCTGTGGTCCCCATTCAGGAAGGTCACCCAAGCCCAACAATTTTCAAGACCAGCCTGGAAAGCATAGCAAGAGCCTGTTTCTAAACAGCTCAGCACACAGCAATTTACACCTATAATCTTAGCATCATTGAAGATCCCAGTTCAAAATCAACCCTGACAGACAAATCTGAGAAACTCTTTTGTTTTTGTCGGTCATGGGCTTGAACTCTGGGCCTAGGCACTGTCCCTGAGCTCTTCAGCTCAAGGCAAGCGCTCTACCACTTGAGCCACAGCGCCACTTCCGGTTTTCTGGTTGTTTATTGGAGATAAGAGTCTCATGGACTTTCCTACCTGAGCTGGTTTTGAACCAAAATCCTCAGATCTCGGCTTTCTGAGTAGCTAGGATTACAGGCCACCAGCGCCCAGCTGAGAAACTCCTATAATCAATTACCCATCAAAAAGCTGGGACTGGACGGGTGACTCTAGTGACCAGAGAATGTGAGATCCTGAGTTCAAATCCCAGTACAAGGGAGAGTGAGCCTTGCCTAGGCTGCAATAGGCACTGGATTTAATCTCCAGCACAACACACACAAAAAAACAACAGCTGGGCGCTGGTGGCTCACGCCTGTAATCCTACTCAGGAGGCTGAGATCTGAGGATTGCGGTTCAAAGCCAGCCCGGGCACGTAAGACCGTGAGACTCCTATCTCCAATAAAACCACCAGAAAACCGGAGGTGGCGCTGTAGCTCAAGTGGTAGAGCGCTCGCCTTGAGCTGAAGAGCTGAGGGACAGTGCCCAGGCCCAGAGTTCAAACCCCACGACCGACAAAAAAAAAAAAAAACAATGACAGGACACCGGTGACTCACGTCAGTAATCCTAGCTACTCAGGAGAGTAGCTGAGATCTGAGGATTGCAGTTCAAAGCCAGCCCCAGCAGAAAAGGCCATAAGATTCACCTCTAAGCCGGATGCCGGTGGCTCATGCCCGTAATCCTAGCTACTCAGGAGGCTGAGATCTAAGGATCGTGGTTCAAAGCCAGCCCAGGCAGGAAAGTTCGTGAGACTCTTATCTCCAATAAACCACTAGAAAACCGAAGTGGTGCTGTGGCTCAAGCGGTAGAGCGCTTACCTTGGGCTGAAGAGCACAGGGACAGCGCCCAAGACCAGAGTTCAAGCCCCACAACTGACAAAAAAAAAAAAAAGAAAAAAGATTCATCTCTAATAAACAACACAGAAAAAGCCAGAAGTGGTGCTGTGGCTCAAATAATAGAGCACTAATCTGTGTTCAAGTCACAAGACTGGTGAAAGAAAAGCAAGAAAAGAGAGGAAGGAAGGAAAGAAAGAAGGAAGGAAGGAAGGAAGGGAGGAAGGAAGGGAGGGAGGGAGGAAGGAAGGAAGGAAGGGAGGAAGGAAGGAAGGAAGGCAGGCAAGAAATAACAACATAGGTCCTAGGAATGTGGCTCAGTGGTAGAGTGCTTGCCTAGCATGCATAAAGCCCTCGATTCAATTCCCCAGTACCACACAGAAAAAGCCAGAAGTGGTGCTGTGGCTCAAGTGGTAGAGTGCTAGCCTTGAGCAAATGAAGCTCAGGGACAGTGCCCAGGCCCTGAGTTCAAGCCCCAGGACTGGCAAAAAATGAATAAGTAATAACAACAGACATTTATATTTGCATTAAAAAAAAAACTAAGAAAGGCTAAAGGTAGGGGCAGGAGAGTGGGAGAAGGACTTGTGCTGGAGCACAAGCTGAACTTTTTGAACCTGGACCATGAAGGCAAAGACTGCTCTCATTACAAACTACAAAAGAGCCCTGTTCTGGGCAGACATGAGGTGCCATTGTAGAGGCCTAAGACTGGCGCCAGAGGAGGAAAAGCACACACAAACTTCCAGCCTGGGGGTCAAGAGAAGTAATACAGAAGGGCCAAGGCCACACAGAGCCACACCAATCATGCATGTCTTCCATCTCCACACTCCCAGGGAGATGACAAGACAGGGCACGCCACCCCACAGCAGGGAGTACACAGTCCGGGAAACAGCAGGAGGCAAGAGTCACAGGCCTGAGGAGCAACAGGTGGCCAAATGCCAGGAAGACCGACAGAGCAGCCCCAAGGAGCAGGACTGTGTCCAGAGAAGTCCAAAGAGAACGGGCGGGCGTGAGTAGTTAGCAGGAATGTAAACAGAGCCTAAAGAGGTCCTGTAGGAAGCTGTGGCGGCAAGGAGGGTCCCTGAGCCTGGGCAGCCATAGGAGATCTACTTAAACCAGCGGGAAACAGTGCAAGGCCCTCCTCACTCCTCACAGCAAAGTAACCTTGTCAGCACACACACGGCCCAACATTAGAAAACCACAGAGCACAAGAGCGATGGTAGAAGACGTTCTATAATCCTAGCACAGAGGGAAGCCTTTTTAAACATGACATGAAACTCAGAAACCAAAGGAAAAAAGCTGACAAATCCAAATACACTTAATTTTCAAACACATTGTAAAACATAAATAAAACCCACAATGGGGCTGGGAAGGTGGCTCAGTGGTAGAGTGCTTGCCTTGCATGCATGAGGCCCTGGGTTCAATTCCTCAGCACCACATAAGCAGAAAAAAAAAGCCAGAAGTGGCGCTGTGGCTCAAGTGGTAGAGCGCTAGCCTCAAGCTGAAGAGCTGAGGGAAAGCACCCAGGCCCAGAGTTCAGGCCCCACAACCGCCCCCCCCCAAAATAAATAAATAAAATAAATGTTACCTCCTCAACATTCTTCTGTGATTACTTTGTAACTCTCTCACCACATTTTAATTTTTGACATACCAATCAGTAGCCTAAGGATAGCTCAGCCCATTGTCTGCCTCACAGCAAACAATAACTGCTGAATGAACAGGTGGTCACTTCATGTACAACCCAGGATGGGACACAAGATACATCAGAGAAAGGCCTCGCTCAGGTGTACATGATTTGGTGCCAGGGACACAGAGGAGGAAGTTCCAAGAGAGGCTGTGAGTGAGGCACTTCAGCAGGTGTATGCAGAGCAAGCACTGGGATGGGGCACATTTAGGGTAGGGCAAGAACCTGGAGGCTGTTATGATATCTTGGGTCACCTGGACTAGGGCTCCTAAACTGCACACAATGGAGACATTACAGCAACCAGCTGCCATAAGATCAGAGGTTCAGGAATCCCTCAGATGCAGCCCCAAAACTGAGCCTAAAGATGCTGGAGCCCCCTTGTTTGGCATCTGCCAGCCCAGGCAACTCTTTAGGAAGAGCAGAATCTAGGGAGACCTGAAGCAGGGGAGGAAGCAGACCAGGAAGAGCCAATCAAGCAGTGTTGGGAGTCAGCACCATGGCCCAGGCCTACCCCAAAACTCTGGAGGTTGAGGCAGAGGATCATGAGCTGGTGGCCTCTGCCAATAGGGAATAGTCCAGGAGTGAGAATGAAGGATGGGCTAAAGTCATCAGAGGTGGAGCTTCGGGACAGAGACAGGCAGCTCGCCCCTCAGAGCTCTGAGCACTGATGTGGCATGATGAAAACATGGAGCCAGTGTCTGGGCAGATCTCACCCGGCAACCCAGCTCCGTGGCGGAGCTCTCCAGGCTGAGCACCACCAGCTCGGCCGCGCTGAAGCAAACTAGGTGGTGTTGCAGAGGCCTAGGCCTTCAGGGAGGCCAGGCAGCCTCAGGGAAAAGAAGCACCCGGGGAGGACCACCGTCCCGCCAGGGAACACCCGGGAAGCAGAAATGACCCAGGGGACTCACTGCTGGGCTCGGGCCAAGAAAGGGAGGCGCAGGGCTTTGGGGGGGCTGGGTGTGCTCGGCGCCCGAGCGCGGGCGAGTCCACACGCACCTCTCTTCTCGGCGCTCGTGGGAGTTAACTCCACCATGTTCTGAGCCCAAACCAGGCCAAGAGCCTCTCACAGACTGGTCAGCGCGTCTGGCCTGACCCCCACCCACGAGGAGCCCGCGGCCCGCGCTCCGGCGCCC